TGAGTTCATACCCCTACCCTTTTTCAATGGTTTTTCAATGTTTTCAGGGGGGAAATACAAGCAAAAGTACAAGTATATATTGTACTCAATCACATGATTTCAATTAAATGGTTTCATAATTGTACACTTTAAGAATTGAAAACCTTTTAAACAAACCGTTTTAACTTGCAGAGTTGTTTGTTTTTAACCCGATTTTCAATTCTTATTATACACTGTTATATTGTGTACTTGATAATTGATTGTTCACATTTAAACTGATAGAATACATAAACCATTGTAATGTCTATAATAAAACACTAAGGTTCGAGTGTAAAAGACAGACTCCATTAGAAAACATGAAACATCTATATGTCCTTAACAATACACCTAGGCTCGAGTGTAAAGGACAGGTACGTAGAATAAAGTCAGTTGTAAATACTACTTTCCTAGTCGAAAAGTAAAGAGTAATCTTAATGATTGGAGACACGTCCTTGTAACACTTCCATGGCACAAGATAGTGGAGGACTAACCCTGTAACCAGAATCTCCGTTCGTAGGAGAGCGTGGCTTGAGTGTATAGATCTATACGGGACTGACAATCCTACACCTGGCTGCTAGCTACAGCCGAACCGAATGGTTCAAGGGTGACAAAAGTCATAAAAAGGATACTGACCATGGTCCGAGTCATATCCAGTCTAAGTATGGTTAAGGACTCGCAATCTAGATTATTAATGTTTTAGACTCATTTACTAGCTTTATGTACGTAGTAAAGCTAATGTACATCTAGGGATGACAGATGCACACATACACAGTCAGGGAAACATGGGGTTTTCCTGGGGAGAACACTGAACATAACTAGAACCAGTAAAGACACACACACAGTCAGGGAAACATGGGGTTTTCCTGGGGAGAACACTGAACATAAACAAAACCGATAAAGATATACACACAGTCAGGGGAAACATGGGGTTTTCCTGAGAAGGACACCGAACATAGTCAGAAACTAGTAACAGTTCACACACACAGTCAGGAGAACTTGGGGTTCTTCCTGAGTAATAGTAGTACGAAATTAGAGAAGTGTAATAAGTTAAACAATTGAATTACATTTCACAAGAACAATCATGTTTTAATTAAACATCGTTTACTTTACTTTCGGATTTGGAAACTAACTTTACATAAGAAAATATGGGATTTTCTTAGATAACCACTTTTCAGGAAAACAAAGGAACTCGTACATTTTCAGAAAAACTAACCGCTTATGAACTCACCAGCTTTATGCTGATTTTCAAACCGTTTGTATTCTCAGGTCCGAGTTAGACAGGTACCCGAAGATCCTTTTGTGTGAAGACGGAGTTCTCAGAAGACTCATTTTGTATTGTTCATATATACTATGTATCACAATTATACAAACTTTACTTTTGAAACAACTGTAAAACTTTATTATGTAATGTAATGGTTGATTTACTTACTTACTATGTACATTGGATTTGATACTCTACGTGGAGTCAACCCCGGAAATGTTTCCGCCTTCGGTTTTCGGGGTGTGACACTTTGTTCCCAATCCCTTGGAGAACTTTAAACGGTCTAATAAGCCTTGGACTCAACTTTCCTCTTTTACCAAATCTTATAAGTCTCTTCCACCATTTGTAATTGCGTTCTAAGGACAAGTTTTTCCGCATTTTTATAAATAAACAAAATTTTTGATTTTGTCTTATTTTATATCTCCTTGCAATGACATTTTTGAAAATTTTGTGTTTATATATTATTAGAAATATCATGAATGGATTTGAGTCTTTAGTTTGTGGTAGTGTCAAAATTTTACCAAATAAGGAAAGATTCTCATCACCTATGTTTCAATTGGACAGAAACTTGGAATCACGCGACTTGCATTGTATGATGAATAATAACTTTTGTCTTTTGGAAATTAAGACTAATTCCTTATTCACATGTATATGCGAGTCAAGTGAAGGACTAGGAGATCTAGTACACATTGTTGTGCACTGGTCAGGTCCACAACAAAGAACGATAAGATTATTCGTCATGATTTACTAAAAGTTAAGTAAATGTGGTTATGCTTACAAGATTAACTGTAATTCTGAATCATTGGAAAGTTTCAATGTATAGCAGAACGAATAAAAGGAATCAATTAGGCAGAAAGATAAAAGTTTCTCCGATCTGAAAGGAAAGGAGAGTACTTATGTATCATGTTTTATGATCATCTTAGTGATTATGAAACCATATCAGAATTGATCCTCTAAGTACATCTTAGTGCACTTGTATGGCTAAGAAGAAGAATCATGAATTGTTGAAATGATTAAATTAAAAGGTGAATCATACTTCGTTCCAAAATCAAGTCTTAGAGTCATACTCCAAGATTGTGCCTTGAGTGACATATCTTAAGTAGGTTTATAACACATCATGAAATGTAGAATAAGAAATGTTTCTTGCTCAATCACATTTGAAATTGGTAGTTGTGATGTCTTGTATAAGACAAAGACTAACTAAGACCAATTGTATGAAGCGTTTTCTTGATAAGAACCCGTACTAACTCTTGAATACTTGGTTGTCAAGGAATGTTTCTTGAAAAGAGGATGTTATATGTCAACAGGTTAGCGGGAGTCTTAAGATCGTGAAAAGCTTCAAGAACTAATCAAGAATAAAGTTATTGTTCATCGCTAGCACACGACTTGAGGTTGGTTGCCTATCGTGTTGACGCATTCTTATTTCCGTGCCCATTCCAGTTAAGTGGACTATGCGTGTGAATTCTATGAGTTCTTAATTGATTGTATAAAGGCAAAGCACCTTGATCACTGAAAGCACATTGATCTGTATGGGTGAGCTGCTAAACAACTTGGAAGACATGGTAGGCCATTGTGCTGCTATGTGGCAAGAAATTAAGATTGAACAAGTTCAGTTTATATAGGTTTGAATTTTTCATGGACCTTATCTAATGATAATGGTTGGAAATGGCAGATTCACATGGATAGGAACACATACATCATAAAATCTAAGTAACATAAGGTTTCTCTCCACTTCATGGAAATGATTGCGAAGAAACGCTTACACTAAGAAGATTTTGAGGAGATAGAAGTTATGTTGATTGCATTCTCAAATTTGATTATGATTACGGAGTCCCTCTTCATAGTTTGAATTGTGAAAAATGGCAATAGTTTGAACATTCGGAACTTATTGCTATAAGTTCTGAAATAGTTTAGATACACATATAAGCTTTCTAATAAAATGTGTATGGGGTTAGATAAAGGCTTATCGAAGCATTTCATATCAAAAATATGAACTTTGGTAAGAAAGTCAATAAGTATTGATTTCTAGAAGTTCAGTTGATTTTTGAGTGCGTGTCAAAGCTAGTGGTAGCATAAGTGTTATGCTAGTTGGAATGTAATTATTATGCTAGTGGCAGTACAATTATTACATTAAGTGTTGCAAGGTAGTAATGCTATTTTTAGGAAACAAAGTTTTGATTTGCAAAGTTGTAGAGTTTGAAAAGTTGTAGAGTTTGAAAAGTTGTTTCGCTATAGTAAGGGAGAGGATACTTATACTTTATTTTGAATCTAAAAGCTTAGATTGAAATATTAATTAGACTTAGTCATGGATATATGGGCTTAATAAGGCCAAACTTGAAGTTTATTTAGTTGTGGTTGGTCAGTATTGTGGTCTTAATGTCGACTATGCTTCATTGTTCTTGGATGAGTTTGGAACATCTATTTCTCATTCAGAACTAGCGACTCGGTTGTCGAGTGCTACGTTTTGGGGGTGGATCCAGAAGGAGATATACAATCAGGAAAATATTAGTATTCCATCAGATGTTGATATCGATGAGTTGCCATCGATGATAGTTCCAAAGGTAGTTGCGGATGATGCTACCATATTTTGAGTAGTTGCTCAAATCCTTGATCCGGTGCTTAAATTGGTAGATCCAAAAAATTCATTGTTGGTGAAATATTTGGTTTCTATTGTTTCTACTCAAACTGTTGTTCTACCACCAAAGGTTTCTCAGAAGGGGTAGAAGGGCCACTAAAGGGTCTAAGGCTCATAAGACAAAGAAACAAGTAGAAAAGACAAAAGAAGTAGAGGATGAACTTGTTAAAGAAACTATACCCGCAAATACTAGTAAAGGGGTACTTAAAAGAACTAAGAAATCTGCTAAGAAACCCTCTGATTCTAAAACCACAAAACCTACTCAAGAACCGATTGTTGAAACTATTGAGCCAACAACTGAGACAACTTCCATAGAAAATCCTATTCCTAGCATAGCTACAATTACTCAAGAAGGTGAACCAATTGTGAAAAAGAATTGTTCAAAAAGCGTTAAGAAGCTACAATTTAATAGAAGGGGAGTTATACTTTGTGAGGTTTCGACTCCAGATCTCCAACATCAAAGAAGCGTCAAGCAATAGATGTTGCATATAAGATAAAGAAGTGAAAGCATAATCAAGCTGAGGTTTCGTCCGAGAAAGTGATTGTGGAGACTGAAAATGATATTGATAGCAATGGATCAAACATTTGATTTGTGGATTCTTTTCTTGTATCGCCACAAAAAGATACCCCTATTAAATCAACTTTCGAAGAGACACAAATTCTTGATGTCACTGTAAACGTATCTGCTACCTTTGCAAATATCGATTTTGGTGTACAACAAATCACAACCATCCGTGAGAAGGAAAAAGTCAAACCATCTAGTGTTTCGCATACTAAGTCCGTTATGGAGGAGATTGAAACTCCAGATATCACTGTGCACTTATCTGATAAGGACACAATTGTCAACATGGATGAACGAGTGCAGTTAGTTGAAACGACAATAACAACAACAACAACAACAACAATCATCGAAACATCATCTATTCTACCACCACCAACATCACAAATTACTTCTTCAATTCCTGTTACAACAGTTTCACCAACCTTTGATGGGGTTATGCAAGAACCAATCACAACTATTTTCTCATCTCAATCAACCGAGGCTGAGAAACCATTCAAGAAGACAAAACTGATGATGAAAACGCGATGATTTCTTTTGTAGAGCTACAATTAAATAATGACGAAGAAGATATACCTGATGACTTAATCATGTTAGGTAATCAATTCAAGACTCTCAACTCCAAAATGAATTCGATTCTTTAATTTTTAGTTGATACTTGGAGTAAAAACTCAGTCAGTGGGGTTAAAGTTGAATATATCTTGAAATCTCAAGAGTCTCGCTTGAAGACTTTAATTGAAGATGTTGATAAGCACAATGATGATCGAGCAGTCACTCAATCTCGTACTTTCAACAATGAGATTTCAAACTTACGCGATGTTTCACAAGAATGTCATGAACGTTTTGAGAAACAATTTGTTGAAACAAAAGTTTTCCTAAAGAATCAGCTGAAAGAAATTCGAATATTGATGGCTACCGAGGTGCAGAAATTTGATGATAATGACCCTTTGTTACACAAGAAGGTGGATGTTGTAGCAAATGCCACTACAAGATTGATCAAAAATATCACTACTTTCAATATAGATTATTGATCTTCGAGTCAAGATAGAGACAAGTGAGAAAGTTTTTGTCAAAGTTGAAGAATTCTTGTCGAACATTAAAGAGATGTTTTCGAAAGCTGATCTTTCGATTCAATCTTCACTTTCTCTAGAATCAATTTTAAAATTGTTTTGAATATCGAGTCGAGTATAATGGATGAGTTGGATCTGATCTGGAATTTAGTTCTTAAATTTCCAACGAATGCTTTTCATATCATGCATGTTTCACAAGGGGAAGATAGAGAATTTGGTTTGTCTAAAGTAACTGGTGAAGACACTAGAGTTGTTATGGAGAAGGTAATGTCTACTGAAATTCCAACGACCATCTCGATGAAGCCTATTATCTCATCTTTGACAGTAACATGATAAAAAGGGATTATCACTCGGACAAGAGATCAAAGAAAAGGATTCTTGATTAATGAAGTTGCAGAAGGTTCAATTTTGACTCTTTTCAAATCAACTTTCAATGATGATACGAAAGACAAAGGAAAAAACCATTTAAGTTGTATAATATAACGAAGAAAAGAAGATGTTGCAAGCTATCAAATTGGAGAAATAGAGATAGATCAACAATGTTTTGAGACAAAGAGAAAACGTTCCACCACGCTTGAACAAGGGTGATCCTAATAAGCATTGGAGCTATGAAACGATTTAGATAGTTGTACTTGGAAAAAATGATGAATTTATCAAAAATCCAAAGAAGAGTTATGATACAGACAATTTGGATTTCAATCAACCCGATTTCGTAAATAACCATTTGTTATTCAGATCACCAAAGTTCAAGATGGCTGGCAATTTCAATAATAAAGATGAATACCAGAAGTTGAAGATTCGCTTTCATGCGGTTCTTGGAAAGAGTGAGGAAGAAGTATGGTCCATGGTAAAGATTATGAAAGTGATGATGATTGTGCATGATACGTTGTTAGAAGGAATCCTACAAAATTTTCATTATGTTTTCGTGAGGGAAAATAACGTGGTGTTCAAGTTTATAATGACAGGTTTTCCTTTGATGTGTCGAAAGTAATTAAGACATATAGCGATGCTTTCGTTCTTGGCTTTTCTCACATCAAGGCATATCTTGAGATTTATTATGATTATTTGGCTATCATTGATATACATCTTGCTTTGACCATCAACAAGTCTTCGAAAGTACCTCGATTATCGCTGAAAGGAAGACTGAACATTGATAAATTTGATGATGGTGAGATCATTCATCAACCATTTGGTGTAGTATTTTAGGGAAATAATAAGAAAGGAAAGTTGACCAAGTTCTTGTTCCAAATAACTGATCTTGAGAGATACACGCACTCTCATTACATGAACCTCTTAATCTGCATCAATAAGTGCAAAAAGAATGACAATGAAGACAAGACATAGATTAGAAAGATCATTCTATGTACATGGAGATTCAGCTGGAGCTTTTGCAGACAGTGAAGATGATAGCTTGAAGTTTCAACTATTCTCACTAAGTGGAGATTGTAGGGTCAAAAGATGTATCTTTCGTTAGGTGTCTATGAGTATCAAAAGCTTAGTACTTTTGATATGTTATCTATTTACAAGGCAATGTATTTTCGATACGTCATGTATAGTCCTTGGATTTTTTGTACGTCTGATGTACCCTATAATTAGGTCAAGTACTTAGGTTAGAGTATCGATTGAAACATTCTCACATCATATTCTGTACTCTCTCTCTCTCTCTCTCTCTCTCTCTCTTTTTTCTCTTTCTTGTACTCTTCAGATGTGAAATTAAGCCAAACATATTTTATTTAGAACTGTGTGTCTTATGTTACTTTTCTTAATCAATTGATTTGTTCATCATTTTTAACACACTTCACCATCATTTAAAGGACTGTGAATACTCTCAGCAACTTTTTGTAGACATTCCCACTCTCCTAGAACTAGGAGTTTATGATGGCATCCTTAGGTTATTTAGCAATGGAATCGTATAAAAACACAACTCTTGAATCGTATAAAAACACAACTCTTGAATTCTTACAATCTTTATTCAATGAAAATGCCAAAAGTCTCTCATTCCATCTCATGCAATTGCAATTTTTTCTAAGTCTAAACAATCTTAGTGGGTTTGTTGGGATTTCTAGAAACAATACTTATGGTCCCAAATTAGGATACATGCGAGAGAAAAATACCCTTTTCAAAACCAAAGCCAAACCCTTTTGGAAGGAAATCAAAGGACTTGATGTGTATGAGGCTCGATCCATCAAAGCATCACAAATCATTCATCTAGTATTAAGGGTGGATCTCCGAATTATTGCTAATATTGTCTCTCGCCCCTAGAAGACATTAGCAGAGCTGGTAAGATGGAGCTAGAAATTCTTTAGGGCATGGTCAACGGCTTGAAGGACCACATTTTGGTGCCTTTCTTGCTTCCAAACTTCTAAAGGTCTCCACTAGAGAATCTGAACCAACTCATTTTGGTAGGATTATCACTTATCTCGCCACCCGCCTTACTTATGCCGAAATTTCTGAGAGAAGGCTCCCAGATCTCAAGAAAAGCACACAAGGCTCCAATACCATCATATCCAATGTCCTTACAGCCTCATCTTTCTTTTGCAGAGAAAATGATAGTAGTTTTACATGGTTGGTGTAAGGTGAACTCCATTTCTGAGTTCCTGTTAGGAACTTCTTTTCTGTCCAGCTTCAGTAGGACATAACTCAGACTCGGTGGTGTCTACCAAAGAATATTTTGAAGATTACATTCCACACGCCACTGAGCCCATCCTGAGAGCTCCTGAGCGGCTGGTCATCGACCATGAGGACGACTTTCATGTTAATATCCTTGTTCCTCCCACTCTATAACGTCTGGTTCCTGGTATGCACTTAACTTATTTATTTATTTATTTTGAAAGAGAGACTCGACGAGTTGGTGGCCCTAACTCGTCGAGTAAAAGGAAAATTATGTGTGGGGTTTTAGTTGGCTACTCGATGAGTCAAGAGCCCTCGACTCGACGAGTAGCTTGGCCAGAATGAAACCCTAATTTCGGGGTTTTGCACCCTATTTAAGCTCCTTAACCACCACCCCTTGGCCTTATTTCCAGCATCCTTGTCCTAAACCCTAATCCACGAAAACCCTAGAGTTTCTTTAAGAGTGTGATCCATTTTGAGTGATCTTGGTGTGCTTTTGAAGCTTGTAGAAGAATAAGAAGATAGAGGGCTCAAGAGTGGAAGAGTATATCTAAGAACTACACTCCATTTGATTCATTTCCTGGTAATCAAGCTTCTATCTTGGCTATTAGTTCATTAGATCTTCTTATGTCCTCTTTATGTGAGTTTTTAGCCAAAGCATGATAGCCTTTGGAGAATGATCGACTCAAGAGGGTAATCTTCCAGATCTTAGACCTTACAAGGTTGGAATGGCATAAAGGTGCAAACTTTATGTCATTAGAGCCCCAATGCAAGCTCTAATGACGTTATTATGGCGTTTTGGAGCCCAAAAGGCCATGCATGGAAGCAAGCTCGAGACTTTACATGTTCAACTGGTATCTAGGCACTAGATCTAGGTTTTCATGCTTTGGTTTGGGATATTAAGGCTTTTGGACAAAGATATATCTCCTAAAAGAATTAGGGTTTTAGATAAACGCTTTAAGAAGGGCTATCAATGGGTAAAGTTGGAAACTTTACTCTTAAAAAGATCATTTCCATTGAATAAACCAAATATGGACTTTGGATCTAGAAAATAGGGGCTTAATCAATTAAGATGGCCAAACAGAAAGAGGGACTCATCGAGTCCATAAGGGAACTCGGCGAGTCGGACCGTGTTGTCCCGTTCTAGTTAAGGTAGAACTTGATGAGTCTATAGAGGGACTCGAAGACTTGATTCGCTAAGTCGTGACTTTGAGCAGCTCCATAGGACTCGATGAGTCGGAAGAACGACTCGACAAGTTGGGTCGCGATTCCAGGATTTCTGAGTTAAAGAACTCGGTGAGTCGATTGGTTGACTCGACAAGTTGGTCAACCCAGAATGTTGACTTTGACCATAGCTTTGACATTGACCAGGGGTAAAATGGTCATTTTACCCTTAAGATGATTTTCAGTTGTTGACTAAACATTTTTGTGCATTTATAGTCGGGCAATCGTTGGAGCAGCAATCGAAGATTCCTCACTCGAGTTATCAGCAACCAGTTTGAGAGGTGATTTTTCCTCTAGTAGGAATAGGTCGAAGGCACCGATGTCGATTCATTTATGTATGTTAGAATATGCCAACTCTAGTCCGATGTCGGGAATAGCCCGATGCAACTTATATGTTCCAGACTTTGGTCCGATGTCGGGGCACGCCCGAGGAATGTTGTATGTCTGATGTCGTCGTGATTTTTGCATATACTTGTTTATGTGTTCCGGATTTCGGTCTGATGCCGAGGCAAGCCCAAGGAAGGTTTAGCTTATATGTTACGTGGTATGTGTTCTGGACTTCGGTCCGATGCCAGGGCAAGCCCGAGGAAACTTTATATGTTTATGTTTATGTTTATGTATTATATGTTTATTGCTATGTTATATGTATACCGGACCTCGGTCCGAAGTCGAACTTTGGTCCGATGTCGGTCGGGGCCCGATGCCAGATTCGTCCGATGTCGGGCGGAGCCCGATGCAGTGTGAAAGGCCTAATATATGCTTTTATGTGTTATTTGTATTCTATGTGGTATATTGGGGAGACTCATTAAGCTTCGTGCTTATAGTTTTCAGTTTTGGTTTTAGGTACTTCAGGTAGCAAGGGGAAGAGTTCGGGATGACTGCATGGCACACACCATAGTTTTCTAGCCTGAGACATTTTACTCTGATATTTGATATTATATTTTGATACTTTTTATAGTTGTTATGATATTTTTGAGATACATGGTTTATGATGCCTATATGATGATGATATTTATGGTTTTAATAATGGTTTAAAAACAAAATTTTTGGACTGTTTTTTTTTGGGATGTTTCAAGTTGGTATTAAAGCCTTGGTTTGAGGGATTCCGGTACACTCTCAGGTGTGTC